GATGGGAAGCGTTGATGAAAGCAGCAGGGCCTCACCTGCTTCACGAGGTTGTGTAGTTCCTGGTGGGCGGGGTGATGGGTGGAGGTGAAGGAGGGACCAGATGGGATCCCAGGAGAGATGCCAAGTCGGGTGGCGGTGACTCGGCTGCACTGGCTGGCACCCTGCCATGCCAGGCGCTGGGCCGGGCCCTTTCCTTGTACGCAAGCCTGCGTGGGCGACCCTATCATTTTACAGATAGGAGCCTCAGACTTGTCTCTGGTGAACGTCAGCGCCAGGCCAATCTGGTAGACCCAGCCCCTGAGATCACCGCCAAATACTTCCTGACCATGGTGCCGTTTGCAAGTTACTGGCCTGGCTTGAGGCTGCAGAGCTCCCAAGGGATGCCCTGTAACCTCCTCTGTCCTTGTCATTCACTGGGGCTCCTCTACTGTCCCTGCCCGACACACAGGCGGAGGCACCCACCTGGAAAGGGCGGAGCGGCCAGCAGGACCACTGGGTCCCTGAGGACCCACTTCCCAGCTGTGGGCCTCCCTGCCATCTGTCCATCCTCCCATCAGGACGGACCCATGAAATGCCAGCCCAGCAGCGAGGCAGGTGGTAATTTAGGTAACTGACAAGGAGCAGGTCTCTCGGCTTCTTCCTGGACTTGGGAAGTGGCCGGAAAGCAGTTCTCCTTAGGCCAGGAAACCTTGCTGACCCGGGGTAGTCAGGAAGGAGAGGTGGGGAGAAGACAGCGGGGGGACAGGCCTGCCAGTCGTAGGCACAGCAGCCTCGGCACCAGCGCTCTGCGTGGCTGCAGGATTCTCCCAGACGCCCTCACGCGTCTCCAGGCTGTGACCAGATTCCTATGGCCACAAGAGCTACATTCTCTTACAATCCAAAGAAATTCAGGGTAGTAAGTAGGGGCAAGAAGCATTCTTGGAGCAGCTCTGGCTGGGAACAGTGCCAGATTTTTCCACGAGGTAGCACCAACTCATGGGCAGAGGTTACCCGGGTTGTTTGTTTATTCAGCAGGGTACCTCTCACACACACAGACACACACAGGCACGTACACCTCCCCCAGCGGCCATGACAGTTGAACTGCCACCCTGCTCACAAGGCTGCTCCCATTTGCATAAACACTACCAAACATAACCCCTCTGAGTTTTCAAAATACTTGCGGTTATAATCGCCTCACTCCAACGATCTCTGCAGGAAGCCTCTATTATTCCCACTTGTTTTTCATATGAAAAAATAAAGACTCAGGACAGCCCTGTGAGGAGGGGACAGGGCAGGAAGGAGAGATGGAGGGAGGGGCAGGGAAGGGTTCAGAGAGGAGAGGGGGAGGGGAGGAGGGGAGGGGAGGGGGGAGGGGAGGGAGAGAGGGGGGAGGCTGCCCTGCAGGGGGAACAGAGGGGCAGCTGGGACTCTGGAGAGGGGCGTGGAGCGGAGGGGGTGGGTTCAGGTGGCTGGGTTAGATCGAGGGTCGAGGCAGGGGGATTGCTTCTTAGGGAGTCTGGCCTTGAAAGACAAAGGAAAAACCAGCTGCTAGAGACATTCTTAATTTAAAGGAAGGTTTTGTTTCAGCCTGGAAGGAGCAGGCTTGCCTGGCGGGAAGGGGGGAGAGGGGAGGGGCGCTGAGGGGGTAGTGGAGGCAACTCCTGGGCAGTGGCAAGAACAAGGGGTCACTGCCAGCTTCTGAACTGAGAAGGGGGCGAGGGGGGGAGGGAGGAAGAGGCTTCAGGGGAGTGTGGCTGGAAGCTGGGCTTGCAGCCCGAGCCCCCGGCCCACTGCACAGCGCAGTAGAGGTGAGGCCACAGCTCAGAGCGGGGCTGGGCAGCCTGGTGGGCAGTTAGTGGCGGAGGGCGATGACCTTCTGTCATTTAAAAGAATTTTCGTTTGAGATAACTGTAGATACACTTGCAGTTATGAGAAGTAACTCAGAAAGATCTCACACGTACCCACCCGTTTCCCC